AAAAAAAAAAAAAAAAAAAAAAAAAAAAAAGTAAAGTAGATCATGTTACTTCCAAGCTTAGAATCTTTTTTTTTTTTTTCCTTTGTGTTTTGAGACAGGGTCTGGTTACATAGTACAGGCTGGCCTTGAACTTGTGGCAATCCTGTGGCCACCGTCTCCTGAGTGCTGGGATTACAGGCGTGTATCACCATGCCTGGTGCCAAGCTTATAATCTTTCAGCAGTTTTCCTTTCCTCTTAAAGAACAGATGCTTTATAAGGTTTTGTGTGATCTAGCCCCTGCTTGTCACTAACTTTCTCTTCTCGTTTGCTCACCCTGCTTTTGCCAATGCTAACCTTTCCTTTCCTTGAATGCCCAGCTTTTTCTCTTACAGCATGCTATTCCTTCTGCCAAAAAATGCTTATCCTCTTATTACCTCATTAGTTATCTCCTACTTTTGTTACAAATTGTAGCTCAACTGCTACTTTTTCAAAGAAACATGTACATCACCCCCTACATAAACTGATTCCCTCATTCTATTTTATTTTTTGGTCCTGGAAATTGAACTCAGTACCTTGCTTGTGCTTACCAGGCAGGAGCAGTGCCACTGAGTTACATCCCCAGCCCTCATTCTGTTTTTTGTAACCCCCACATCATACCTCTCCTTCACGGTACTTATCACAGTTTGTTAGACAGTGTATTTATGTACTGATATATGTAATATATCTCCTATACTTAAACTTACATCTCAAATGGGCATGGATCATGGTTTTTTCATTATGGTACATTACGATGTCTGGCATTCAGCAAATAGTTGGTAAATTGTCAATGGATTCATTCACTTAACAATCAATGAAGAAAAATACAAATTAGAGCAAGTCACAATTCGAGGGTCAAAATCTCTTACCTATCAAGCTCAGTTTAGGAACCAAGTACATGTCCTTTTCATTAATGACAAGGTTAGGGGCAGGCGGTGGAGGACCAGTGTCTGAATTCTCAGGGGTATGCACCATGGGGCAACGCTGTACAAAGCGTGTATCTGCCAGTTGCATAAAAGTGTTTGATACCTCAGCGTAGTCCATGGTCTTGCCATCTGTACAACAGGAGGAAATAGCAGGTGAGATGGCCTGGGATAGCAGAGTCCAGTTCTGTAGTCAGCAGTCTATGCTTTTGCTAATAGCTGTAGATATAGTACTGACCCTCCACGGTCTCTGTGAGACGGTCTGCCACTTTCTTTACGACAGCTGACATTGTCATTTTGCCATTCAACAGCAGCTCCTCAATAATCAGCTCTCCAGTGTCACCATAAAGTGCTTTGGTAGTATAGATGTACCGGGGATACCTAAGCATTCGTAGTACCCGGCTGCAGTGGGCTTCATACTCAACCACACCACGTTTATGCACTTGATACATCACCAGGTTATGTTGGATGAGGACACAAAGTGCTTTTTTTACCTAGATAGAACCCAAAAGAAGGAAAGACCTGAAGATATAGTTTATTATTGCTAGCAATTTTTTTTTGTCCAACGGCATACTAAGCATCAGGGGATAGCCAAATAAGAATTTCTGCTCTTCTTCTGAGTAGTAAGAATCAAACATCAATGGAAGCAGTCAGGATGATTCCTTGCAATGATGTTGATATGTCCTCTGATCTTTATTTTCACATCCAATTTTACTTTCTGTCATTCTCATTACTTAGAGGTGGTACTGAGATTAGTACTTTATTGTGAATAAATGAAATGTGGCACAGGAAGAACAAAAACTTACTTAGGAAGCTATGCTGGGCTAGTGTATGTGCCTGTAATTGCAGCCCTCTAGAAGTTGAGGCAGGATTCCATGAGTTCAAGGCCAGCCTGAACTACATAGCAAGACTGTCTCAAAAAAGATGAACTAGGGACACTTGAGAAACAAAACCTCAGGGCCTAACTACTACCTAACTACTATCCTCTATCACTGCCAGTAACATTATTCTAAGGGTAAGCTTTCTTTACTTCTTCCTCTTTTTTTTTTTTTTTTGGTACCAGGGGATTGAACTCAGGACCTTGCGCTTGCAAGGCAGGCGCGGGGCCACTGAGCTAAATCCCCGGCCCTTCTTTACTTCTTTCTAGTAACAATATTTAAAGGTAGGTGAGAAAAATTAATGAAAGAAATTAAAGAGAACAAACTGATATTACCTAAACATACCTGATCCAGAGATGTTCCTGTGTCATGGACAATTACTCTCAGTGGCTGACTGCCAGTTCTGATTAGGTGCACTCCAATTTTTTCTACAATCTCTCCAAAATGCTCTTGTAGCAACAAAGAACACAGTTTAATCTCAGCCTGAGTCATTGTACTGGGAAATGTCAGAACTAGGAAAAAACAGTGTAAATTCACGTACTCTTTCTGGAAGGCAGTTTGTCAATACATATGGAAAATATTAACATTTTGCATATATTTGACTTAACAATTTCATTTTAGATACTCTATTCTAGGATAATAAAACAAAAAAAAAAGTCACTAGTGCTATTTATGTGGAGACAGTGTCTTGTTATGTAGCTCAGCTGGTCTTGGACTCCCTATGTAGTCCAGGCTCGAACTTGGGGTGATACTCCTGCCTCAGACTCCCAAGTGGTGGAACTTCAGGCATGCCACCACACCTGGGACTAGTTCTCTTTCAAATACAGTACTGACATCCTGAAACACCTAATGGCTAACAATAAATTATGGTAAACCTGCACAATAGGATATACTAAGCAAACATTTAAAATAATTTTGTACAATACATATTAGCATAAAAATTATTCATATTGTAAGCCAGGCATGGTGACACATGCTTGTAATCCCAGCATTTAGGAGGCTGAGGCAGGAGGATCGTTGCCAGTTTGAGGCCTGCCTAGGCCACACAGTGAGTTCTAGGCCAGCCTGAGCTACATAGGGACACCCCGTATCAAAATAAATAAATAAATAAAATTGTAATAGAACCAAATTGCAAAGAAAAATGTAGACTAAAATTTGATTATAAAAACAGAAAAACACATGGGAAAATGTGAGTAGTCTATACATCAAATTTATTTTTATGGGAGTACATGTGATTCTAACTTTTAAAAATAACTAGATGTAGGTGATTCTGTAATCTGTTATAGACCTTCGATTCTAAAAAAGAGTTAAGGTCACTTTTACTTTTCACTATTCAGTGTGAGTGAACAGGCAATTCTGTTCCTGATCCACAAAGAAATGACAGTTTAGAAAAAGAAATGAGGAGGTGAAAGTTTCTCAACAGGGCTTTCAAACACGAGATGAGCTATATTGTTTTTTGAGACGGGGTCTCACTATGTAGTTGAGGTTGATCTGGAACTCACTAGGTAGCCCAGGCTAGTCTCGAACTCACAGTGATCCTCCTGCCTCAGCCTCCCGAGTGCTGGGATTACAGGCGTGCGCCACTACGCCCGGCTTGAGACTTCCTTCTTTAATTTTACTCCTTGATAAAGTAGACACACAGAAACTGATGACTAAACGTTTACTCCCCCACCACAAGATGCTCCCAATTCCTCAGCTGCCAATTCTTTGCCCCCCACATTTTCATACAATACATATTACTTCAACCATTCAAATGTCTTTGGAGAAGCATCTTTTGCCATACTCGGAAAGGATTTCCAACGTGCTGTCTCCCGGCTCTTCAGTCCCCTCACGCAGTTTCCTGTCACAGACTTGGTCTTTTGGCCCAGAGTCAGAGCCGTCTACTTCAGGCGGCATTTTCCACTAACCTCAGGGTCAGGGAGAATCCAAGTCTCCCAACTAGGCTACAGCCTTGCGAACGACGAAATCCAGCGGCTCCCGTCAGTCACTCGCACCTCGGCGGAGCCCACGGCCCCTGCCCGGAAGTACACAGCCACCGAGGCGGACGCCGGAAGAGGAACAGTGTGTGACGCTCTACCCCACAGCTTCGGTGGTTTCCGGGGACGCTCTCTCTTTCTTCTCGCTGGAAGTCTGGAGGACCGGCGAGAGGCTATTTGACTTGCCGGCGGGCGGGCAGAGGC